TAATAGTGAAGCTAAGCGTTACAATTATTAAATGCTCTAATAGAACCACATGTGCTTCTATTTTTCGATCCCCTCGTAGGGTGTGCTTATATTAGGGAGTGTGCTTCAAATAGGGAGTGTGCTTTTATTTTTCGATCTATTTTTAATTTTTTAATGAAAATTTTTACCTCACATAAATTAATATTATATAATTTTGGAGCCCAGAAATTCATTTATAACCTTACATAAAACAAAACAAAAATTAAATTTCAATTGAATTCATAAATTCTAATAAAACTTTTCTAACTAACTAATTTTTTTTTCGAAAATTTTCAAAATTTTCGACCTTGCTGACCCATATCTCCTTTAATCCCATAGAATCCTCACATATCCATCGATACTTCTCCAAAGCTACTGATTTATTTCTTGGCCCTCAATGATCTTAGTTTTATGTCAAGAGTGGTTCAAGCTAGACTGTAATTCTTCGGTTAACTGAAACTGAACGGGGATATCTTTGGATTTGGCGGGATTACGAGTATATTGTTGGAGATCTGAGAAGAAGCATTAATAATGATTAATCGAGATTAGAAATCCCCTTCTTAATTCCTAAATCGGGTAGACCAAAGGATCTGTGGGATTAAGGAGGATATTTGAAGAGTTGGATATCACGGATTTAAGGGTATCGGATTTCTTTATATCAGTTTTGGGTATCGGTTTTTGGGCATATCTCCCTTAATCCTTTTCATATGACTTAACTATAACTAGAAAGTCATGACTTACTTTTTTTCTGCCAATACACTAGGGGTGTGCTTATATTAGGGAGTGTGCTTCAAATAGGGAGTGTGGTTCTATTAGAGCATTTACGGTAATTATTATGAATAATTCACATTTTAAAAGAACAATGTAACAATCCAATGTGAGCAGAAACGCAAAGAATTTTGTGTAAATGGCAATCATTTGTGTTCTTTGGGACAACCTGCCTCGACTATTTGGCATGGAATTAAGATCAAAACGGATTATATTACTAAAAAACAAAATAGCTCACATACTATCTCTGTTTTTGTAACAACAATTACTTTGTCAATTGTTAAACTAAAGTAAGTTTTTGTCTGGGAAAAACTTTTAGTACAGAAAAGTATAGATCTTCGGTACAACTTATTTGAATAAATGCTTAATTAGTTGAATAAATGCTTAAGGATAATTTTAGATACGAAATAATTGATACTCTAAATTTTAATATTGAATTTGGTCGTATGCAAGATATATTTACACATGTCTATCTGAAAAATGATGCTGGCGAATGTTTGTAATTTTTGTAAATAAAAATACATATTTAAGAGCTTATTAACTAAATTATAACAATTAAATTGACCGTTCCACACCCTCTCTAAGCGGGGAACCATGTATTAGTTTTGTCAAATAACAGCTTATCAGTTTTTTGTGCAAAGAAATTTTCTATACTTAGAATAAAAAATTTAATTGAAAATTATCTAAATGGAACCCTCACCCTTTTTTATTTCGTGCTGAGCAATAATCAAAGATACAGCTGCAAAAAGGCCTTTACATTGAGAGATAATTTAGCTTCAGAGATTTATACCGGAGCATAAATGTAACCGATTGTTTTATTATCCGACCAGTATTGGACCTAGGTAGAAGAGCTATTTCAATTGCTATATATCAGAAAAATAGCTAAAAATAGCCAGGAAAACAGAGCAGAAAAGTGCAAAAACTGAAGAATTATTCTTAATGTAAAAAATTTTTTGTATTTTTTTAATTAAGCGACAATTCTTAAATTTTTCAACACTTGCTCATAAATACATATTTTTTAAGATTTAATAATCCAAATTTAGCAAAAAAAGCTTTTCTTGGCAATGATAGTGTACTTGTTAATGAATACATGTATAAAGTCGAAAAAGGTGCATATCTGCATAAATATGCTGGCCTATGGGCTCTTGGAATGGATTTGTTACCAACATCGGCACAACGTTATGTACATTTATTCGTTTATAAAGGTTGTGCCTGTGCAATCGATGTTTGGGTAAATTTTTGATATGATATAGGGATTGGTATAAAGTACAACATTAAATTATGTAAAGCATATAGCTATTAATTTCCTAAGGTTGAGCAGTAGGCGGCGTGGTGTAATGGCTAACACATAAGTCCGGTCTACTGAATGGTTCGCTCCCAGCCGCCGAATAATCTTTTGCTCTAGCTGAAGGAGAGAAATAGCTATAGCCCAACTGCTTTACTGTTATACTAAGGTAATATCATATTTAACATGAACCAAATAGTAAACTTTTTATGCCGCTGCACTGGGCTCGCTCATTAACTTAATGTACTTTCTAACTTTCCGGTTCACGTAACTTTCGTTTCAGTACATTATACGGATACTTGACAAAGAATTGTCCTTACATTATCGAAAGATTTAGAGTCACTGCAAGTAGTTGTGTGATTATGTATCATGCTACTGAACAGAATAGAATCAAAATTTAAGTAGATAAACAAGAAAGCAGGAAGAGTGACATTTTGGAGTATTTACTATTTGTATATTTAGTTCAAAAGCCCAACAACGCCAAGCTCATTAATACCAACAATTCCTGATAGAATTGAAGGAAAGTATAAAGATTGTTCTAAAAGATACACCAATAATTCTGTTTACGAATTGGGAAATATAACCGATGTAGGAATAATTGTTCATTTTTCACTATGGGCAAGTAACAATGGAAGTTCTGGCTCAATTAAATTTTTGAATTTTACTAATCTTTTTCTAAAAATAAAATTTGTTGGCAATGAAATAATATTCTTTAATAATGTGGTAAGTTTTTGTTTTTACTAAATAAGTTTTATAAATATTAAAAACACAAAATGTTTACTCAATTTAATAACGAATATTTGGACTGACAACCTTATGAAATTATTGCGGCTAGATAGAAATTCGCAAAAACGACCTCTTCACGATTTATTAAATTATATTCATAATGGAGCCTAAAAAATGGTGTTTTTACATAGGTCCGAGCAATTTAGGACACGGTTCTTAATCCATATTTTAGCATATTTGACCCACTCATGCATATTTGCATATTTATGCTTGTTTTGGCAAATTTTGCATATTTTGGTCCATACTTATTCTTTTTTTTAATTTTGCCAAAAATTAATCAAAATTTTGAAATTTAATCAAATTTTGAAACTCTCAAATTCCCCGACTTTCGGGGACAGGGACCAACTCTAATGCCTATGCATCTTTTCCGTAGTAAACCTCTTTTAAATTGATACTAATTTAGTCTGTGAATGAACTGGAACATAAAAATATTGTAACAAATTTATTTGCGGTTGGAGCACAGATAGACTTGACAATAAAAATAAACAATTATTATGTTTCTTTATTATTTCAATGTGATTTAACTGATAATTTTTACAAAAAAATCTTACCAGATTATTGGTGGGAAGGAAATTTTTTAAAAAACTCTGAAGTCAGAATGTTAATTGATGGAGATTTTAGTATTGTAACTCCTTTATCTATTAAAATTATAGAAAATAATGTGAATGTAAGTAATCCTTTTATTAGAATTTTCTTGTGATAATCAGGAAAATTGTTTTAATTGTCCTTCTCTTACAAACTTTCTTATACATGTACAACGTAGGAGATGGCTAGAATTAGATTATAGAATGGTTTTTAGGAACTTAGGTATATGGTTTGGATGAGGTCAATTTCAGCCGAGGTCATTTTTTTGTTTAAGATGTACAAAAAAATCAGCGAATAAATAGGTCTAGAGCTCAATTTAGGTAATCGAGCTGACACTTGATTCCATAGCACAACCGACTGTGCTGCCATCTCATACAGTTTATGGTCATTAGTTTTTATTTTGTAAAGAACGGGCACATCGGAAACGGAATTTTTAGGTAAAACAAATATAAACCATAATTTTATTCTATATAGACAATTGAAAAAATGCATGACGTGATTAAAATGCCACACTTGGCTAGGATCAAAGAAAGTATTAGCGATGAAAGTTTTTTCCTTTTTCTCTGGTTAATTAAAAATGAATCTAAAAAATTGATTATAAAATTATTGGATGGCGTAGAAGAGGAAAACCCTTACAGTAATTAATAATATATTTTTCGAGTTAATTAATAGTGCTATTTTTAGTTGGGACAGTGGTTTATAGTTTTGAGGTTATAATTTAACAACTGTAATGATCAAGTCGAAAAACGTAAGTAAACATTATTCCATCGAAATAAAATTAAAATTAATCAAAAATTTTACGTGGAATTAATTTTATCTGAAGTGTTATAAGTTATTTCACTTATTGAAAATCATGCCACCCATAAACCCGTTTTTACACCTACATAAACGCGTGATTTTTAAAAATTTTTAAAAATTCTAGTATTTTTTAATTTTTAAAAATCAGAGATTAATTAGTCATATGCTTGTGGTAATAAACTGGGTGCCTTATTTTCGGCTAATTAAAAGCACGATTTATCAAAAAACATTAATCTGATTGAGTCCAGAAATTAAATTTCTAAATTTTAGTGTTTTGATGAAGATCCTAACTGTTACGAAAATGAATGTATTGAATTTAGATGTAAAACAGTTAATGACTTAAAAATATTTGAAAATGATACAGCATTTGAGGTTTATCTACATGTTATTAGTGAAGAAGAAACAACATTAATTCACACTTTAATTAATGGAAAATATTTTTCTAATTTCACAATAAGAACCGATTTTGAAATCTGGAGTATTAATAGAATATATGTAAGATTTTTTAAATTTCACAAAATTTGATTGGTTTACGTATATGGGTACCGGAATTTTGGACACCAATTTTTTGGAATCTTGGTCAGCAGCGGAATTTTGGGTAGGCAACATGCAAGAAAAACGAATCTTATCTAGAACTGATATCAAAGTGATAAAAAATGTTGATCACTCTCCCGATTAATCATTTTTCCGGGAGAGTGATTGAAAGTGAACAACCGAGAGAGTGATCAGCGGGAGAGTGATCAACATCGAAATTGATCAACGGGGGAGGGGGGCTATTAATAAATTATTTTTAGTTAGATGGGGATATTCAGCTTCTGCATTATAGTTATAAAGATGGCAATCCGCTACAACCACCAGATTTACTTCATAGAAAGGAGATAACTGAATTGAAAGGACATGGCACAATCGTTTGTTTTGAAGCTCATGTACCGACTGCTGAAGAAATGGAGGGTCGCCAATTTGATTTTCGAGTAATTTTGATTCACGACCCTCAAAAGGCGAATAAGCGAGGTATGATACTTAACAAATATATTTATTTTTAAATATCACTTATTTGATCAGATTTCAACATTTTAATGGAGCTTAAGTTCAAATTTGATCCTGAGGAATTTATAATTGGAAAAGACCGAATAGAATACACAAAAGGAAAAAAACACTCATATTTAAGGATGCAAAGTTACGGGGGCGAGGAACTTTTAAGAGAGGATTACATTTCAAATCCAATTAGATCTGGTATGTCTGTAGTTGTGTTAATACAAGCAACAGATAAACACTACATAACTAGAATTAACGATAGTGATGACATCCTCTATCCAATTATACTTTTTCCTCCTTGGGCAATAAATCGTGTTGAGGCATGTTTTTTTAAAATTTTATTATTACAAACTTTTGTCTTTTCATAAACATTCGGATAAATTCATATAATTCACTTATCGATAGTTAATGATGTGCATTGAAGTTACTTTAGTTTAAAAGTCCCACTGAACGGCAGTTTAGTTTGATTATACTATTCACCAACTTAAAGATACCTACAAATTGGATGTATCTTATATTTAAGATACCACTTCTATTATAATGATAGGTTAAGCACAAAATATATTCAGGTCTAGCATTAAAACTAGAGTTGGACAAGACGAGACCGATACCGAGATTCTCGGCTTTTTTCCAATATCGGTCTCGGTTTTTTCATTCTCGGTCTCGAAACCGATACCGATATTCTCGGTCCATTTCTCGGCGAGAAACGATACTGACTCAAAGAACCAAAATTATCAATATTATCCAAGTTTTTGTCCATAATTTTTTTCGGATATCCGTCCATAACAGAGAAAGTGAATTTTTTTCGAATAAGGTCTTCTAAAATTCAAAAATTCCTTTGCCAAGCCAGATCGGATCCAGATGAGGAAGAGTATTTATCTGATGATTTGGATAATGAAAATAATGAATAAATTATTTTTACACGTATTTTTTTACGTAAAATAAAATTTTCTCTTAGTCTCGGTCAGTATCGTTTCTCGGTATCGGTCTCGGCTCAAAATGATGGTATCGGTCTCGGTATCGGGTTCTTGAGTATCGGTCAATCTCGGTCTCGGGTTGGCCGATACCAGTATCGTTTTGTTCAACACTAATTAAAACAATGCCATTACAGATCACCGGCCACATTAAAGGAGTTGTATTTGACGAAGATTCTGATAAATGTAAAGCATACAATCATTCCAAATTTGCATTGAATGAAAGAACCAAAAGAGTAGAAAGACAATTGAATAGTAAAAGCCAAGTAATTATTAGAGGAAAAATACCAAATCCTTTCAATAAAACAATCAGTATTAATTTCCTTCATGCGGCTATTACTTTTGACGAAATATGTAGGATATTATATTTCAATATTTATTCCGAAAATTTCACAAAAATTTCCATTATAGAATTCAAAAGATCCATCCTGTATTATGAAAAAATACGTAAGATACAAAGATACCGTATTTTTCCCAATAGAAGCGCATGTCCCATTTGAAGCGCACGTCCCATTAGAAGCGCAGTCTACGAGGAGGTTGAAAAATACAAGCGCAGGTCCCATTAGAAGCGCAGTCTACGAGGAGGTTGAAAAATACAAGCGCAGGTCCCATTAGAAGCGCACGTCCTATTAAAAGCGCACCCTATGAAATAGTTATTTGAGCAATTACCCTGTTACATAGTTACTATTTTAAACAATATACCTTTCCTTTGTGATCCCTCTCTTGTCACAAAGGAAAGTCTCTCAGCCGAATCCATCCTAGAGAAAGGCAAATGAATGGGATTTAATTAGATCTAAAAGTCTCCGAAGCAAGGTTATTGCTATTCGCATTCCAACATCCACTCTTCCTACATCTCATTCCTCTACTGAAGAAGATGTAGATGTCCACTCTCCCCTACCCCGAGCCTTCGGGGCCGGGGGTGTCGGGTTTCGGGGTTTACCGGAGAAGAGCATTCAAGATTCGAGTCGGGGGTTTTTGCCAAAAAAATAGTCGGGGTTTGGGGACGGAGTTTCTTTGTTTTTATTATTCTTTTACCTGATCCCTCTCTTGTCGAAAGATTTAAGGTTTTTTGAGTTATAATTGGGGAAAAACTTATTTCCATCTTGCCTAGGGGATGGAGTGGAAAAAGCTGGATGGATGATGCCCTCACAACTGAATATTTGAGAGCAATTATTGGGTAATCATTGTTCTCACAACGCTTGCTTATTTGGGTCCACCACCAATGAAATTTTATTTCGGATTGATAGGTAGTTAAAGCATGAGTTGTGATTTCAAAAGCAAATGTTGCAAAAAGCTTTTGGGTTTCTGGAATTGGAATTCCAAGTGATGTTCCGAAGATGATGAAATACATTGTTTTAGGCCTCAGGCTTTATTACATCAAGCACGAGAGGATAAAGAAATTTCAGAAACTTTTTCTATTATGTTATAAAAATTAATTCGCATAGGAGTTGAAAAATACAAGCGCACGTCCCAATTGAAGCGCACGTCCCAATAGAAGCGCAGTCTACGAGGAGGTTGAAAATTAGAAGCGCATGCGCTTCTATTGGGAAAAATACGGTATTGTGATTTAAAAAACTAGAAACTTCATTCCCCTGTTTGCCAAACTTTTTAAAACACATAAAAGTAAAACTTATATTTTAGCAGGCAACACAGTCCTTCAAATAAATATAGCAAGAAGCTCTTTATGTGTAGATTCATATACGGTATCTAAATTTAAACTTATCTTAAAAATACTATTTGTTAGGATGGTAGATGGATAAATTTGAACAGAAATATTAAAAAATGTTTTAAACATCAAGATCTAAAGGAAAATGAAAGCATACAATTAACTATGACTTTTAAAAATTCGTCATTATGGTACTTATTTGAAACAAAAGAAAATGCCGTTGAAAATAATTTTGTTATGGATATACCTATATCCTTAACACAATATATTGAGGTGAGAAAATGTTTATTGGAAACGTCCATTTCTGAATTGTTCCAAGACCAAAAGCATGTGCACTAGTGTTTCGCCGGAACCGCAAATTTAGCCGAAACCGGAACTTCCGGTGCAACACTAATTTTATTAGTGATAGACAAAATCTCATTTGCTGATACCTTAGGCAGGAGTAAGTTTAAAAATGTTATGGAATATAGAAGCTGAGCCTAGAAAACTGACCCGTGCCTAGAAAAACTGAGAGATTTAGAAAACTGAAGGTTAAATTTGCCTAGCAGATCACTAGATATAACCAAGAAGTGTGTCGATAATTAATTTAAAAACAAGATTTCGGAATTTTTTATTTACAATTTAATTTAAACTATTTTTTAGGTAAAAGAATTAGAGAAGTATGAAGAATTGATATCAATAAAATATGATTAAATTTATTTTTTCTGCAATTTTCATGAACTTTGAGGCTTAATAATTATTTTCTATTTTTATATTTATGTATAGTAATCGTATTTGACACATCATGATTTTATATGTATTTTATATTGTTTATTTCATTAAAAAGGACAAATATCGTTAAATTTTTTGAAGATAAAATCTTTGATAAATATGTTTAAAATTTTCAAATTTAATAATATAGTACCTAATAAAATTTATTTTAAATTAAAGGGCTTGGGAAATGTATAATTTATCTGAATAATGATATAATATTTAAAAAATATATAGAATAAAATTTTCTGATAGAATTTGTTATATCAAATCTAATCAATTCATTTATCTACCAAATAATCCAATACCAGCCCCTATTCCTAAACCAATTCCAAGTCCTCCAAATCCTGGAAATCCACCAAATCCGCCGCCATATCCGCAACCGTAGCATCCGAAACAGCAACGTTTTGCACGTAACACCCTGAAGTTTAAACATTAAAAAATTTATAATATTCCGAAAAATACAATTTGAATGCATCGCGTTTTGCTAAATTAGTAGGCTCATCTTCAGCTATTGTGACCGAACTAATGATGAACAACAAAATCATCATGCTTAGAAAATAAGTGGAAGAGTTTTGCATTTTGTATAGAAAATAAGCAAGTTATTTAAGTAAATATATCTGTTTCTTTATTAAAGTTTTTAATAAAATTATTTAAAATAATCTTTTGGGATATTGATAAATTAATTCAATATACAAACAAACGGTCAGAATAATTTTTAAAATTTTTCGATTACCAAATTTCCTGTAAAATAAGCCCCCCCCCCGCGCCCATGAAATAATTAATTGTTCTTGTCATTGTCTTTCAAAGCATGGCAAAGTTGGGTTCCTTTAAATTAATAAGATTATAAAGGCGTATTAAGAGAGGTATTTGGGGATTTGTAAGGATTAAATTGAAAATCAGTTTACAATTTTTACATCGATGGATCAAAACTGATATCGGAGGATTTAGATAAATAAGGATATATGATTCTAAAGGTTAAGTGTGATACAAATTATTAATGTGGATAGTGGATTTAGAAGTAAATTAAGGATTCGGAGTGATACGGGAATTAAAATGGATTGTTATTAAAAAGATATATATGCTTTGATGGATAAAAGGATACCATTATCAGTCCAAAAGTTCGCATATCCCTATACACAATAAAATTAAAATAATTATGTTGATATTACTTTTAAACTCTTAGAAAAATAATAAAATATGTATCAAGTTCAGCCTATTTTATACACTTCTATGTCATTCATCAAAAAATTATTGCCAGTTGTTTTTTTTATGTTACCACCATAAATTGTCAGTGGAGAAAAATTGCTTACATCATAAATTTGCAATAATCTTTAATATTTAATTGAACGATACAAAAAATTTAAAACTCAATTTTGAAAATTTATATTGAGAAAATTCTAAAAAAATCTAACAAAATTTATTCAACTACAATAGTATTCAATAATAAAAAATATCTACTAAAATTTTTGGAAACTAATTATCCTTGTACGAATGTTCCCAGTCCCCGTCGCCCCCCCCCCGTGGCACTGCCTCCACTAAAAGATATCTCAGTGGCCCTCCTCTCCCCCCCCCCCCCCCGTTGGGGAACAATTCTACTTGAAGATATTTCGTAAATAAGGTCATCGACCAAAAGTTAATTAATGTTTCAAAATTATAATTATAAATATAAAAAATTTTATTATTTTAATAAATCATAATTGGAAAGAAAATATTTAAAAACACAAACTACGTAATAATTTAGCGAAGTCTTGAAAGTAAAAAAAGAAAATAGTTTTGCTTTTTTGCCTATAAAATTGTAATAAATTATCAAAGTTAGTATATTTTTTGGCCTCACAATACAGCTAATAAACAAGTTAACAATTTATTTAAATAATTTTATTCAGATTAATTTTAATTGTGGGTATAAAATTAGATAATAAATATTTGAAAGGATACCGTATTTCCTCTAATACAACCACATGGGGATCTATTTTTGAACTATCCTCTAAGGTTTCTATTTTTTATTTCGATTTCTTATCCAAAATAAAATTTTTATTAAATAAAATTTTTTTATTTTAGGGTATGGCTTTATTAGAGGGTGGGGCTCTATTTAAGTGAATACGGTATTCAAACTCATTGGCAGATAACAGTACAATAATTTGAAATAAGATTTTTATCCACCAGAAATTGGAGGAATAATAGCTATTTCCGAGTTTTCATTTAATACAATTTCCTCTTC